TACTACTACTACTACTACTACTACTACTACTACTACTACTACTACTACTACTACTACTACTACTACTACTACTACTACTACTACTACTACTACTAATATATAGCATTTGTATTGTACCAGTTCTCTCTCAACAGCAAGCTCTATGCGATTTACAATCTACGTTATTACGATCAAAATTGAGCTTTCTGAGTTTGAACAGAAGCCGTATAGAATGAAAAAATAACCCATTATTGTAAACCGTGAGCTTACCCTGCATTACACGAGGCGTAGTGGGCTTGAAAAGAAATACGGTAGGCCTATAGTGAAAAATACTTGGGACATCGACCTGGAGTTATAATATAAAGGATTTGAATGACAATGGAATACAGAAACCTCTATATTGGTGATTATTGACGGGATTGTACTTAAAAATAAAGATACGTATTGAGCTCCTCACATTCTAAACAAAGATTCCCCAGTCAACAGTAAAAAAGCAACCGAATAAAAAAAAATCCCCAGTACCCCCTTCAAAAACGAAAACCCCCCAGCAAAACAACAACAACAACAACAACAACAACAACAACAACAACAACAACAACAATAACAACAACAACAACAACTACAACAACAACAACAACAACAGCGACAAAAACTGTGCACAAAAAGCCCTGCACAAAACCCAAAAACTCCAACAAATCTTTTCCAGATTTTATTTTGGTCCGCTGTGCCTTCTATCTACACCCCTACCCCTCTCCAAGCAAATAAAATAAAAATTGAATCCGAAAACATGACTTTCTCCCCTCCCCCGTGTGCGTCTAATCTATTCCACTCTCCCTAACTAAAAAACCCCCCCCCAACAAAACAAAACAAAACAAAACAAAACCCCCAAAACCCCTGACAGAAAAAGAAAACTCAAAATCTCGCATGTTGAGCTTCAACAGAAGCATCACAGAATATAAAAAAGAAATAAAGTACAACTCCATGCGCTCTCTCGGCATTACGTGGAGCACAATGGAGTTGGAAAGGCAAATAGAAACAGGGTCTGCAATAAAATTGGAGAACGTACGGCAAATAATCAGCTTCATTCCACAAGAGCTTAAGTCATCTTTGGACGTTTAAAAAACAAAACAAAGGGAAGAAAAGTAAAAAAAGACAAACACCAAAAACTAGTAACCAAAAACAAATACCGCCCCCCCCCCTCCCCTCATAAAAAAACCCAAAGGAAAAAGGAAAAAAAAAACAAGAAAAGAAAAGAATGTTCAAAAATAGTACCAAGATTTTGACAATTGCTATTGAAAAAAAAAGAAAGAAAAAGAAAGAATAAAAAAGAAAAGAAATAGCGAGACAGAACGAAACTATAATATCGGAAGATGTATATAATATCGGAAGATGCCCTTTAGCGTCGTTATTCGAACAATGGCATTGTCTGGAAAGTCCCAGAAAATTGATATTTTGGGCGATTGTGAAATGACGCTGTCGAAATTGTGGTAGTGAAAACAGGGTAATAACAGAGGATTTCTTGAAGGGAAATGGGCAGAAAGGGTGGGGGGT